GAAATATGCGCCTGAATTATTTTGTTATTGTTGAGTTATAAGATACAACATTGCATTGTATAATCCAATGCGCGTCATTCTACAAAGTTTCTCTAAATTTCGAATTATATCGATAAATTTGTTAGTCCTATTGGTAGGAAATTTTAATCATTTTATTTTGGTGTACCAATCCTTTCAATTAAGCTCAGTAAAAATAATCAATATACTAAATCGATTCAGTGAATCATAAATTGATAACGAAAATGAATTGAAAACATGTTTAGAATTATACAGTTTTTTTAGTAAGATAAATGATTCATTTTTTATTTGTTTGTATTGACATCTGCAATATATTTAATTTAAAATTGAAAACCTAGTTATTACTGAAATTTCAACTAAGCAATTTAGTCTAAGTTGCTATAGGTAACGATTTTTTCTATTCATTTATATATTACACTTTTTCATGATTTCATCGAAAAATATTGCAGAATATGCAATACTTTTAACTGTTGTCATCATCACTATATGCTTTATAGAATTATTGTATATAATTATATTATTTCATGAGTAGGAGCTTTCGCTTATAACGGATATGTGAGCAAGCTTACGGAAGGCATGAGATATTTTATATTTTAATATTAATATAGTCTAGTGTTTATTGAAAAGTTAAGACTAAAGTCTAGTGTTCATTATCGTAAAGGTGAGGGTCTAGTGATCGATATTATAACTTATGTTTTAATAATAATGAAAATATCTCTGTTTGCTATATATATTTTTATTATATTACTATCAAATATTAACAAATTTATATTAATAACAAAATCGTATGTTCTAGCTATTTAACCTTTATTACCATCTATTTCCGTAGTATTCCTTAACTACATGCGCCAAGGTTAGTTCAGTTGTAGCTCGAGCGGTGTTTTAAGAACAAATAAATACTAAATTATTAATAGACCTTTAAAAGGTTCGCAACATATCAAAGATTAAATTGTTACTCAGAAGTTTATTTATATAATTACCAAGTAGAATATATAATACTTATGTAGTTGAAACAACAAATTTACTGCGTTAGAAATAATAAAACAATAAAATAGGAAAATAATATAATTATTAAAAATTATAATTATTTAGAAGTCTATATTTTTTCCATAAATGCCTCTAAACAATATTCAAACAGAGAAAATCAAGAATAATTTTCTTAATTTTTAATAATTAGGAATGTTCAATACATTAATAAAAAAAAAACCCAGCACAGGGGGGTCGCGGCACAGTGGTGACGTGGTATAGATGGATCAAGTATAATGATATCTGACAGTGATTAAAATCACTATCAAAAAAAAACGCTTCGATGCAAATCTTTAGATACTGTTTAATTTTAAAAAATTGGTGGACTATTCCAAAAGCTACATTATGTGCTAGTTCATTATTAATATCCTAATTAAGATAAAGTATGTAGAATGAAAAAGGGATTATTAAAAAATATTATTTCTCATAAAAAAATTATGTTGATCCATACACTTTTCAATATGTCATAGCATTATAAAGTTAAAAATGTAAAAAATAAAATCGAGAATTTTCACACAATAATAGCATTCGGTAGCCATTTTCACCGTGAAGATAAAATAAAGTCCGAAATTTTTTTTTCGCATAATAAAGTAAATTACATTAGCTTTAATTTAAGATATATATAAAAGTGTCAGACTTTCCGGAACACTTTCAAAATTTAAGTTGAAAAAGTTAATTTTTTGTGAAAAAGTTGTCATTTTGAATCCCCCCCTGTAGGCAGGTAAAAAGTCAGATTTATAAAAAAAATATACCAAATGATAGGTAAAGACATCATGCATCTACAAAAAAAAGAATTATATTGATCCATACATCTTTCGAGAAGTTATAGCATTATAAAGTTAAAAATATAAAAAAGAATTTTTTTACAAAAATCGTATTTTTTTTATTAAGTTTAATGTCTGTTTTCACCATGAAGATAAAATAAAGTCCGAAATTTTTTTTTACCATTATAAAGTATATTACATTAGCTTTAATTTAAGATATATATAAAAGTGTCAGACCTTCCGGAACACTTTCAAAAGTTACGTTGAAAAAGTTCTACTTTCTATATGCATTTTTATGTTTTGAATCCCCCCTGTATTTAGGGAAATGGTCCGATTTAAAAAAACAGTATGTCGAATGAAAGATCTATATAAATACTACTTCTCATAAAAAAATTGTAATGATTCATACATTTTTCAAAAAGTTATAGCATAATAAAGTTAAAAATGGAAAATACAAAATCGAAAATTTTCACACAAAAATAGCATTCGGTAGCCATTTTCACCATGAAGATAAGATAAAGTCCGAAATTTTTTTTTTTCATGATAAAGCATATTACATTAGCTTTAATTTAAGATATATATAAAAGTGTCAGACCTTCCGGAACATTTTCAAAATTTAAGTTAAAAAAATTAATTTTTTGTGAAAAAGTTGTCATTTTAAATCCCCCCTTGTGGGCAGGTTAAGGGTTAAATTTATGAAAAAAATATACCAAATGAAAGGTAATGATATTATGCATCTATATAAAAAAGAATTATATTGATATGTTCATTTTTGAAAAAGTTATAGCACTTTTGAGTAAAAAAAATTGAAAAAATTTCGAAAATTAGCGATTTTTAAATTTGTAATTTTTTTGGAGGTTTCCCCCATTTACGGGGAACGAGGGAATTTTTTTCAATTTTTGAGGGTAATGTCTTCGACTAGATACGATTTGTGATCTTTTGACGTATCATTGAAAGAAATTGGTTCGGTGAGAGCTGAGAAAAAGTGGTAACAGACACAAAAAAAAAAAAAAAAAAAAAAACACATCTTAGTAAAACCAATACCTTCTCAGCTTCGCATCGAAGCTAAAAGAATATTTATATACATTGTTAACCAACATGAATTTTGAATGATTTGACAGTCTTAAAAATTAAAAATCCTAATCCTTTTGTATTTAGGCTCGAGTTTTTAATCTAATCAACGATAACAATACAAATAATAATTAATTATTAATGATTAATTTAACTAATAAAATAATAAATCGAAGTTCGCGGTCTTAAATGATATCTTGTAGTCATTGAATCGATATAATTCATTGTTAACAGCTTACCAAAGATTTAAACAGTTTTATCACCGAGTCGGTTCATTCAATTTGTCTCTTCTACTCAATCAGTGAGTCGACTGTTTCATGAATCACATCATTAATTAGCCCAAGTAATTTAGTTGTGACAGAAGCGGTTCCTGTATTCATACTTTTGTGTTAAATGTTCAATAGCAAATTGACATTAATATAACATTAATGGGATCACGACAATAATTGTCGTGATCCCATGTTATTTTTTAAATATTTAGAATTTATAAATTATGTTAATGTTTTCAGTCAATTCTTATGTATTATTTTAAATACTAGTTTTAACTACTAGAAAGTGTTGTTGGAATTCATTTTTAAGAAGTACTGTAACTATATTTAATAATTACCATCGATTTGATAGCATCAAATACTTATTAGTTTAATGACAGTTTATATAATATAAAAAGGGATCTGACCGATTACTCGTTGGTCATAGTTTGATCGATGAATGTTACATCATAATTATTATTTTGACTCTTCCAGAAGACACTTCTCCGCGTGGTCAAATTAGACTTATAACACCCAGTTTACTATACTACGTTAAAAACTTCGTTATTACACATGTGTTAGCAGCAGCATATACAGAAGTAGGATTCTAGGGTTTTAATCTGCCTTCACCTCTGAAACTAGTTGAACTATATACTGTACAGAGTAATTTACTTATCATGAATAATTACTTAATTAATCGAAAAATAAAAATAATGTGAATAATTTTTTTATTAGTGTCTTTTAGATCAATGTGTTTTTCTTAATTTTTCAATCATAAAGTTTTTTATGTTCATCCCTTATATGTTATAAGGGATAATTATAGTCAACTATAATTTTTCAAATGGCAATACGCCTAGTTAACTTACTTAATAGATAATGATCTAATTAAGAAATTAACTATTCAATAACAACTTCGGAAGTTATTGACATTATGATGTTTTAATTAATGAAATGTTTAATTATAAAAATAATAGCATCCACTCTTCATTTCCAGTCATTACTTTAAATTGCTTATAACTTTCTCAATACTGATCCAAAATTTGTTATCAGCCAGTAATTTTCTTAATTAGATCATTATCTATTAAATAAGCTAGTTAATTAAAGGTGTTGCTATAATAGAAATTAAAGTTGACACCCTTATAAGTTATAAGGGACGAACATCAAAAAAACTTTGATTGAAAAATTGAGAGAGACATTGATGTAAAAGAAACAAATGACAAAATTATTAATATTGTTTTTATTTTTCTATAATTAAGTGGTTCGTCATAACTCTGTATAGTCAATAGTTTTATTATCAACCTTCAGTGAAAACCCTACTCGGTTAGAATCTTGCGTACGCTATTGCGTTTTAGAATACAACGTAGCAGTAAAATTGTTGAAATAGATTAGTCTACTTGTTAAATGTTAATTTCGGTTTTAAACAAAAAAATATTTCCAAGAATTTTATCTAAGTAATTAACCAGAATAAAATAAAGATTAAATATTTAATTAAATGCTTAGTTATTTTGCTTTTAAGTTGATACTTATTGTCATTACACCATTTAAAATAAAATCTACACAATTAAAAAATAATTAACTGAACTTACTATATAAACTATTAATTTGAGATAAAAATTATCATAGAATCATAAGAAAATGGATTTGTTATTGACCATTGTTTAAAATTTATTATTAGTAAAAATGTTTAAATGTTTTCATACTTAATTTATCACTATCGCACTCATTGGTTAATATAACCTTCGATCGCTTTTAAACATAATGAAAAATACGAGTTCTGATAAACTAATATTAGGAAACCGTAAAGTGAATTATACGTAATAATATTTGATAAAAATACCTTTACTAAAAACCATCTATTATACACAGAAAAATGGTCATTAGTTTATCATGCAACTGCTCGATGGTACGAGGCATTAGAAAATGAATTAACTAGGCCTTACTGTACTAAATTAGAGCTTTTAGTTTTAATTTTCAATTTATAAAATATTGCATTTGAGAAATTATTATAAAAATAGTTTTTAAAAATGAATAATTTAATAATTTTTGTGTCGCTATTGTGCTTCTTATATTTTATAAATTCAACCAACGGTGATTGCTATATTACAAATTGTCAGTCGAATAATAGGTTGATTAAAGGTTGTGAATTTTTCGGTCTCGAAGAGGCGAATCGTAAACCATGTAAAAACAGGGGCTTTACTTACACATGTTGTACAAAAGAGTTGACTACTACACATTACAATAAGCACAGTTCTCACAATTCCCATGTCTCACATACTACGTCTAAATATTCTCCTGAGAGGCAAAGTAAGGAAAATACAATTTGAAATTAAAACTTAACGTATTCATGTTGAAGGTCAATAATTATTTATTAAAAATTGTATTAAAAATGCCAAATTAAAAGTTCCTTATTAACTTATAAATTTTTGGTTTATGCTTAAATCAACAGTATGAATACTTTCTATGATTATATTGGTCAAAATATTTCTTGAATTTTCAGGTTCAGAATCATGCGGCATTTCTGAAATAACCGACAGACGGATTGTCGGAGGAACCGAAGCTCAGTTAGGTTTGTTTTATGCAATGATACTTATGGGAAACCCGGGCAAACTAACATCAGATATTTGAAAACAAAAAAATTAAAACATAAGTATTAACTTAAAAACTTAACATTTTAAGAAAAGACAATTAATTTATTGATTGAGTTTTAAATATTATTTTAATCTTAAAGATGGAATGTATGTCTCAAAAAAAAAAAAAAATGTCATGGTTTCAGTTAAGTTCAAAAGATTACTAAAAATAAATAAATAGACTATTCTACTTATTTATCTATTGCATTTAGGTAGTATTTTATTTGTCATAAATAATTTTTGATTAAAAAATTACAATTTTTTAAAATTTACTTATTACAATAAAAACTATTATAGTCTAAAAACTAATATCTTAAGATTTAGATTGAGTTATTAATTAATTATGTATAACTCGATTAATTGTTACAGGAATTATATAATAATAAATAAATCTAAAATTAAATCATTCTTTCGTATTAATTTACAACAAATCTTTTCTACACGTTATTTGTTGTTACACACTCAGTTTTCAAAATATAATTGAATCGATTATTTCAGTAACAAAATTTAGCTGCAAAATTTTAGATAAAACTAAAAAAACTTTCCGAATTAACTATTTTTTTATATTTTTGGTTTTTAATATATTTCTTATGTAGTACAAAGTAAAATGATCATTATTATTATTTTTTATATTTTTTACTCGACTCTTTAGTATATAAAAAATAATATAACTTTTGAACTTAACATGTTTCTGATGATTAATTGCAATTATTATCATATTTTATCCTGTAAAACATTATTATTTTATCATAATTAGGATAATAATGATTAAAACTAATGTTTAATTAATGATAATTAAGTATTTTTGTAATTAATACACTATTTTATCTAAAATTAAACAATAATTGAAAGTAAATTAACAATTATATTAATTATTATTAAACTGGTATCACACTAAACGTTGTGTTAACATTCAAAAAATAAAATATTTAACTTAACTCATTATTTATATTATTAGTGTTTAACTGGTTTCTGTAATAATCAATTACATTAAATTCTAAAGGCATTAAAACACTTTGATTCAACATCATTGTTACTATTCTATCATAAAATATTTATGTTATTCACCATAAGTGTGTCTCCCGGTTTGTGCACGAAATGCTCGGACAATTCCTGCAAATTCATTTATTTAGCTTGACTAATATGCATAAAAAAAATAAAACCTGAGGTGAAGTATTTGAAGTATTTTTTAACTTTTTATTTCCTTAAAAAACATTTTATAATTTTTTGTGAGTGAGAGGAGGGATGGAAAGGATGTAGAGGCTAAAGCCTATTTTTGAGCCTCTGTGGTACGACTTGTGAAAATTATCTAAACACATCTACATTATTCATTATGCTCAAATTTTGACGATACTTCATTTTATTTCGAAAATTATTTTAGGTGCATGGCCATGGATGGCTGCAATAGGATATCGTCGAAACAAAAGACAGTCTACTCCAATGTTTTTATGTGGTGGTACTTTAATATCCGATAGACATGTTTTAACGGCTGCTCATTGTCAACCACAACCCGGAGAGACAGAGTTGTAAGTTTAACAAGTAATATTTTTAACGATAGAATAGATAATATTTACTAAGTAAAAATAACTATGCTCTATGAAACCTCTTTTTTTAAAAAAATAGGAACCTAATTTTTTATGCATTCATATCACGTAGATCTAGAAATTCTAGAATTCTAGTACGATCCTCCAAATTAAATAATTTGAAAAATTAAAAACATAATTTCAAGTATTCAGATTAAGTATTTTTGCTATATAAATAACATCACTATTGCAATATTGTTATTAGGTATTTTTTTATTCATAGTAACAAGTACCATAAACATTGAAAAATTATTTCAGCTTCGATGCGAAGCTGAGAAGGTTTTAGTTTTACTATGATGATCATTAAAATCAGTCAATAATTACAGTCGCAAATAGTACCAGAAGTTTTGTGTTAGCGTATTAATATATGATGTGATTTTTTATTTTTTGTGTGTCTTACCACTTTTTCTTAGCTATCACCGAACCGATTTCTTTCAACGATACGTCAAAAGATCACAAAACGTATCTAGTCGAAGCATTACTCTCAAAAATTGAAAAAAATTCACTCGTTGGGAAAACGTCCAAACAATTACAAATTTAAAATTCGGTAATTTTCGAAATTTTCTAGCTTCGATGCAAAGCTGAGAAGGTATTGGTTATACTATGATGTGTTTATTTTATTTTTTTTTTTGTGTGTGTTACCACTTTTTCTCAGCTCTCACCGAACCAATTTCTTTCAATGATACGTCAAAAAATCGTATCTAGTCGAAGACATTACCCTCAAAAATTGAAAAATTTTCCCTCGTTCCCCGAAAATGGGGGAAACCTCCAAAAAAATTACAAATTTAAAAATCGCTAATTTTCGAAATTTTTTCAATTTTTTTACTTAAAATTGCCATAAATTTTTTAAAAATAACCAAATCAATATAATTTTTCTTATATAAATGCATGATATCATTACCTTTCATTTGATATATTTTTTTTTATAAATCTGACCCTTTACCTGCCCACAAAGGGGGATTTAAAATGACAACTTTTTCACAAAAAATTGACTTTTTAAACTTAAATTTTGAAAGTGTTCCGGAAAGTCTGACACTTTTCTATATATATTAAATTAAAGCTAATGTAATATACTTTATTATGGTAAAAAAAAATTTCGTACTTTATTTTGTCTTCAGGGTGAAATTGGCTACCAAATGCTATTATTGTTTGAAAATTCTCGATTTTATTTTTTTATTTTTAACTTTATAATGCTATAACATATTGAAAAGTGTATGGATCAACATAATTTTTTTATGAGAAATAATATTTTTTAATAATCCCTCTTTCATTCGATATACTTTATCTGAATCAGGATATTAATAACGAACTAGCAGATCATGTTGCTTTTGGAATAATCCACCTATTTTTTAAAATTAAACACTATCTAAAGATTTGCATCGAAGCGTTTTTTATGATAGTGATTTTAATCACTGTCAGATATCATTATACTTGATCCAAATATGTCACGTCACCACTGTGCCNCATCGAAGCGTTTTTTATGATAGTGATTTTAATCACTGTCAGATATCATTATACTTGATCCAAATTTGTCACGTCACCACTGTGCCACGACCCTCCTGTGCTGGGTTTTTTTTACTTAAAATTGCTATAACTTTTTTAAAAATAACCGAATCAATATAATTTTTTTTTATATAGATGCATGATATCATTACCTTTCATTTGGTATATTTTTTTTTTATATGTGACCCTTTACTTGCACACAGGGGGGGATTTAAAATGACAACTTTTTTACAAAACTATTTGAAAAATGTATGGAGCAATACAATTTTTTCATGAGAAGTAGTATTTATATACATCTTTTATTCGACATACTGTTTAATTAAATCGGACCATTTCCCTTTATTTGAGGGGGGTTTAAATCTAAAAAATGCATGTAGAAAGTAGAACTTTTTCAACTTGACTTTTGAAAATGTTCCGAAAATTCTGACACTTTTATACAGGGTGGCCCACCACTCACTGACAACTTAAATAACTTTTGATCCAGTTAATATTTTTAGTTGATTTTTTTTTTAAATAATAGTTATACGTTAGGTCTATAGCTATATCTCAATAATTAATTTTTTTACATTTTATTAAAAATATTAATTATTTTTAAATTTTAAATAAAATGTAAAAAAAAAATCTAAGATAGCTATTTTGTAGAGTAGAATTTAAGAAAAATTTTAGTAAAAAAATATCTTATTAATATTCAGTAGTAAATATTCTGTAGCGTTTTGAAGTTTGTGAAAATTTGAATTTCAATGTACTATTTTACGGTATTAAACATTGAAATAGGTATTGAGAAAAGGACAGAAGAAAACGCTATCTTTTCAATATACTTTTGAATGAGAGTGATAAGNTTGTTATACGTTAGGTCTATAGGTATATCTCAATAATTAATTTTTTTACATTTTATTAAAAATATTAATTATTTTAAAATTTTAAATAAAATGTAAAAAAAAAATCTAAGATAGCTATTTTGTAGAGTAGAATTTAAGAAAAATTTTAGTAAAAAAATATCTTATTAATATTCAGTAGTAAATATTCTGTAGTGTTTTGAAGTTTGTGAAAATTTGAATTTTCATGTATTATTTTACGGTATTAAACATTGAAATACGTATTGAGAAAAGGACAGAAGAAAACGCTATCTTTTCAATATACTTTTGAATGAGAGTGATAAGTAATAATTGCCTTATCTAATTTCTTATCATGGTATTAATGCCATGTTTGTAATGTATACACACTATCATCATATGTATACACAGTAATCATGAAAAGATAGCGTTTTCTTCGGTCCTTTTCTCAGTACGTATTTCAATGTTTAATACCGTAAAATAATACATGAAAATTCAAATTTTCACAAACTTCAAAACACTACAGAATATTTACTACTGAATATTAATAAGATATTTTTTTACTAAAATTTTTCTTAAATTCTACTCTACAAAATAGCTATCTTAGATTTTTTTTTTAACATTTTATTTAAAATTTTAAAATAATTAATATTTTTAATAAAATGTAAAAAAAATAATTATTGAGATATAGCTATAGACCTAACGTATAAATATTATTTAAAAAAAAAATCAACTAAAAATATTAACTGGATCAAAAGTTATTTAAGTTGTCAGTGAGTGGTGGGCCACCCTGTATATATCTTAAATTAAAGCTAATGTAATTTACTTTATTATGGAAAAAAAAATTTCCGACTTTATTTTATCTTCACGGTAAAAAAGGCTACCACATGCTATTTTTATGTGAAAATTGTCGATTTTATTTTTTACATTTTTAACATTATAATGCTATAACTTATTGAAAAGTGTATGGATCATCACATTTTTTTTATGAGAAATAATATTTTTTAATAATTCCTTTTTCATTCGACACACTTTATCTTAATCAGGATATTAATAAGGAACTAGCAGATCATGTAGCTTTTGGAATAATCTACCAATTTTTTTAAATTAATCACTATCTAAAGATTTGCATCTAAGCGTTTTTTTTTATTGTGATTTTAATCATTGTCAGATATCATTATACTTGATCCAACTATGCCACGTCACCACTGTGCTGTTACCCCTTTGTGCTGGGATTTTTATGTTCATCTCGTATGATATCAAGATTATTAATTGGCTTATCATTTTCTTTATTAGAACGAGAAGCGCGCACAAGCGGGGAATAAAGGATACAGAACTCCCTCGAATTTCTTTCTTTATTACATTTTTTAATATTAAATTTATAAGTATATATACTATAATAACATGTTAATTATTTATTATCAAACTAAGTATGTTCAATTGTGCTGTTCAACAATTTACCATATATTTACATAAGGTTATCCAAAATTAATGTATAGTAAATTATTATTAGTTTTACCCCATTCATAGAAAATGAATTCCTGTGTGCTACTGATTAAATCATTTTCTACTATTACTACTAATATTTTAAGCTACTAAAATATTTATGCTGCTATTTAAAAAAATAAAGTCATAGTTAAATAAATTTTATTTTATTGCTATTATTATAGAAAAATCAAGTGAACCAATTTTCAAAAATGTTCAGAAATAAGAAAAAAATATTCAATTTTTTTTTATTTATATAAAGTGTAAAATATCAAAGACTCTTTTATACATACTAATTTTTTTTCAAAAGAATACTTGAAAACCATATAATAAAGTTTTAAATTTCAAAAATGTCCTTAGAATTTAATTTATGTATTACTATTAATTTAGTTTATTAAATTGAATATTAATAGTGATATTTAAAGAAAAAAAATGTCATGGTTGCCTTGAGATAACTTTGCCCACTGTTAAGATCATTAAAATTCTTTATTTAAGTTAAATAATAATTACTTAAAAATTGTCTATAGGTGTATCGTTATATCATTTCATGTAACTAAACTATATTCACATCTAATGTATAGAGGCATAAAGCTTATGAGTTATAGTATGAAGATTTGGGAAAAGGTAATAGACAAAAGAATAAGAGATGAAACATCAGAAACAAAAAACTAGTATGGGTTTTTGCCTGGAAAGTTAACGATGGAGCCAGTTTTTTGTGTAAGACAACTAATAGAAAAGTATAGGGAAAATTTGGAGAAAGAGAATGATAGAGTACCCCAAAAGAGGTTTTAAAGTGGCTATTAATGAGAAAAAGAGTGCCAAAAAGTTATTCGTTAAGTAATTTTTCTATCATTGTTTAATTTTTTAATATTTTATTACATAATAAGATTATACAATATTATTTTTTAGGTACATGGTACGACTTGGTGATCTAAACTTGGATCCAAATGTGAATGATGGTGCAAAACCGATAAATGTTATGGTCGAAAAAATGATAGTACATGAAAAATATAATACTGAAACATTATTTAATGATATCGCTTTACTAAAATTAGCAGAACCTGTTAAATTTAATTGTAAGATTATTAAAGTTAATCTTTTTCTTCTTCTTCGTCTTTATCCTTGTTACTTGGGGTTGGCCACCTGTATCCTAAACCTCCAATCGACACTATCTCTCACATTATCCATATACACACCAGTAGTGTTCATAACACCCCTAATTATATTCAACCACCTATTTTTCTTTTATTTTAACATTAATTTTTGTAACCGTTCTTACAGCTTCCGATTTTTCTTTCCTCATAATATGACCAAACAATCTAAGATTATTTTCTTTCATCTTATCTATGATTGACGCTACTCCTATACTTTCTTCTATATATTCATTCCTTATCTATCCCAATTAGCAATTAAAAAAATAAAATGTTATTATAACATTGTAAAAATATTATTGAAAAAAAAAAAAAATGCTAAAATCTCGTCACTCCACAATCATTCATTTAAGCATTCTCATCTTTGCTGCATTCATTCTCTGCTCTATTTTTTTGTCAATCGCCCCACACTCACTCCATACAACATAGTTGGTCTCACTACAGTCTTATAAAACTTACCTTTTAGTCTCATTAGGATTCTCTTATTCTTCATCTCGTGTTCTCTTTCATCAAACTCATACTCTATATACTCTTCATCTTACTTCTACTAATTCTTAATATCTTTCATTCAGAAGCTAATCTCTCGAGCCTTCTGTTAACTTTCTCCCTATTTTAAGATTATTAAATTTATATTATTAGAAATAAGACTGTCACTTTTCATAATAATGTGATTATAACCATCAGAATTCTGTTAATTACGATTAAACTTAAAGTTTTAGATATTTTTTATTTCAAAATTAAAAACATTTATAAAACCTATTTAAGTTGATAATTCAATTTTTGTAAATATCATGAAAGCATATCAAAATTACATATATAAGCTATATATATTTCCTTTTTCTGTCCAAGGGTAACCGTAATGACAAATTTGACAGCACATTAATAATTTTAACATATTTTCTGTATAGCTAGTTTTTAACAAAATTAATAATGAATATTTTACAGACACGTAACCAGGAGGAGACTTAGTGTAATAGGTGTTGATTAATTTGTTTTAGTATTTTAGTAATAAAATTAATCAAATTATCTCCTCTCCAGACATTTTTAAAGAGGAGCCAAATTTTTTAGATGTCAAATCAATTTTTAATAGTTCAAGGGGAGTGCTCCACTAAATCCGTCACTGATTTCTATATATATATATATTATTCATACACATATGACATGGGCTAGTTTTTGGTTCACTGGGAAATATTTAAAGGCGTTTTCTGCATCGAAAGCACCATATTACAAAAGAATATTAAAAGCTTTGCTTTTTTTTTTTATTGAATTATATGCTGAGAACAAATTTTTAAAATATAAATTAAATACTTTATTAATACTTGTCTTAGGCATAATCTAGTAGTTTAAAAGCGGTCTTAACTCCTCAAATTCCGTGACAGCCCCCCAACAACTATCAAAATTACATGTATTTTCTTAAATAAATATTATTAAGATGGAGTCATTGAGTTAGATCTCCCATACATTTTGTTTAAACTTCACCTATATTAATGTAATTAATGCCTCATTAATGTAATATATAATAACAATGTTGAGGGTTCCATTGGAAAAATCTCCATTAATAAGGCCTATTAGATTATAACTATAATTTATATTATTATACATCATTATAAATGTATTATTACTATAATAAGTAAATTTAAGAGAATTCAATAATTTAACATTTCTAGATTAAATGTTCATGGTTTTTAACTTCAATTTGAAAAGTTTGTATCTATATAATTATGTTGTGATAAATCTTAGAATACAGTCTAATGTTATATTCATGTAATTTTTAAATCATAAAATATAAATACTCTGAATAACTATATAAGTAAAATTATTAACTGTAATAAAATTAAAAAGCTTTTTACATTAAAAATGCATGTATATTGATTAATGAAATTTTTTTTCAGCTAATATTCAACCAATTTGTTTGCCCACATCATCTGAGTTAAGGTCGCATTCATTTGAAGGAACTCTACCTTTCATTGCAGGATGGGGTGATACATCTTACAGTTAGTGAAGTTTTGTTTAATTTTTATTACGAATAATAAATATAATATAAATGATGAATTTCAGATGGTGTAGCAAGTAAAACATTGTTAGAAGCTCAAATTCCAGTTATAAGCAATAACAAATGCAGAGAACTATATGATTATTTGGACGAAGCCATGATGTGTGCTGGATACTCAGAGGGAGGAACAGATACTTGTCAGGTAATTCTAAGTTGGGTTTAAACTAGAACATTTTTTACATTATTGTACTTAAAAGATTAACAGTGATGATTTATTTTGGAGGATATTCATAAGGAAAATAAGATTTTTTGTTCAATTATTAAAAAAAAATCTTCCATAAGAAATAATTTTTGTTTTATAGATCTATTTATGTCACCCTGAAACTAGTATATAATATTTAATATTTTCATGCAATTTTATAAATAAATTCTTAAATTACTTAATTCTATCTTTATACAACTAAAATAATTGATTTTAGGGTGACTCAGGTGGCCCACTGATGTTGAATCAAGGTGAAAAATATTACTTAACTGGTGTTGTATCGAAAGGTTATAAATGTGCAGTAGCTGGATATCCTGGTGTTTATACTAGAGTTACTCATTATCTTGATTGGATAAAGAGAAAACAAAAGTCTAGTTGAATATTTACATGAAATAATAAAGTACTAATTTTTAATATTTTTTTAAGTATAATTTATTGAAAAATATGATATGCTTTTAATGTTAAATATTAAGATTTAAGATTAATCATTGTTTTCCATAGTTTTAGTAAAATTATTTTGTTTTTTTGACACATTTGTTTTAGATTATAGTTTAAAAAGACACAAAGAAAATTATGTGACTATAATTCTAATACATTGTAAAGCTGTGGCTAATACAAAATTTTTTTTAAGTAAATTTAAAGACAATCATTTTTAATTTAAAAATGTGTACATTAAAAATTATAAATTTTGTATTAAAAAATTGACTTCTATACATTTGTTATGCAGAAATAAAAAAAAAAATGACTGATAAATCACTTAGAGTTGTATTCCTTTTTCTACATTAATAAAAACCTAACATAATAACTTTAACCTAAAAAGAATCATAAGGTTAGGTTATTATAATAAGTTACGATAAAATTATAGTTCTAAAAATGCACATTCTTGTAAAACAAAAGATCTATTTCATACTTATATTAAAATAATAAAATTATTAAATATACACTATTTTACATCAAAAATTGATATAAGCCTTTTGAGGATGGGTTCTCTTAAGCTTTAAAAATTTAATTTTTTTAAAGTTATGGAGTATTTTATTGTTATTTATATCTCATATCATTTGATTATAGCTATAAAATTGACTGTTGATGTCAATGGTTAAGAGTTATACTTAATATAATCAAGTAAATGCAATGAAATATTCTAAATGACACAGAAAACTGTTCTCTGGGAGTAATTTATGACATGTGTACTATACCCAATACCTCCATTTTTTTTTAGATGAAAAAAAAAATCTCTTTGAAAATAAAATATAGCAAACAAAATAAGTTCCTTAATGAAATTTCAGAAAAAATTATTTGATAATAATGTTTTTTGTAATTATATAATTTCAATAATAGAGTATTTATTTGTTAATGTACCATTGCCTATGATAGTATTTATTTTAGTTTAAATAATTAAAAAAACTGTTTACAAAAGGAATTGAAGATATAGTAATTTTAATAATTATTTGGTTACAAACATTCTTGTATCTATTCTACAATAGATAAAATAATAATTCAAATTGAAATCATAGGTGTAAAGAAAGATTTTAGTTAGAGGCAGCTAAAACTAGATTGTTGAATTTTACCATAAAAACCTAATTTTTAAACTTATTTTAAAAATTTTATTTAATGAAGTATGATGATCCTCATTTAAATTCTTAGTAAATTGGTATTATCTTTATTGCATAATAATTATAACTGTTTGATTCATTAGAACTAGACTATTTAGATAAAAGAAACACTCGTTGATGACCATGCTAACATGCCTATGATTGAAATTATTTTTTATTATATTTAATATCACTTTTAATACAAGAACATTTTTTTTATCAACATCTAATCAAGTTTAATACTAAACATACAATATTTTTCTTTACTAACTCTAATTTAAATAAATATATCATAAGATAATTACTTCATAAAAATTAAATTTTTACTGGCTTAAGTTATCTAATGTAATGTAATAATAAGCTTCATGTACAATTTTTGTATTTATCGTTATCACTCGATAATACATTACCTGTGTAATTCTCGTCAAACTAAAATTTTATCTTTTTTATTATAATATAAATTGTTATGATAGTTATACTATCATAAAAATTCCAAGATTAGTGTTAAAATGTTAAGAAAAAAAATGCTTAGCCTAATATGTATTATAGAATCTCAAAAATATATTCTTGACGATTAATTTTGATATTGACAAGAACATTATCCCAGATGTTTGACGAATTATTTGTTTTGTAAAATGATAATGCAAACTCCAATTTCCCTAATAAATATAAGTAAATAATAGTTTAAGAAAAATGTAATAATTGTTATGATATTATTTTGACTACTGACCTTAAAAATATTTTATTTATAAATTATATTTTTGTCAAAATTATCTTTCAACGTATAATCGCGGGAAATTGCAAAAAAATAGTTCAATAGTCATCGATTAGTATTGTATCCATGGCATTTTTCATTGATGTGGAAATCCCAAATAATAATTGTGTAATACTCTTTTATATTTAATATTAAACCAAAGTAAAAATGTGTGCATGTGTGTAAATGTTTGTGTATCAAAAAATATATATATATATTTGGGCCAAGTATTAGATTGTATCTAATTTTGTAAGTATAGCTTTTAGTTATTTTTTTCATTTTAGACAGAAGTTAATTGCAATACGAATTTTAACTTTTTTTAATTATAGTATGAAAAATTTTAATATTTTTTTTAGCTATTATCAGGAAATTTAAGCATTTTAAATCATCAAAATAATTGCTTGAAAACACTTAGGGCACTTAAATATTTCTTTTTTCAAAATGTCATAACATGACATAATAGCATTCAGCTATATTATACAATTGTTATAATTTGAACAATAAAAATGAACAAATACTATAATCCGGATATTAGTTGTTATATTTCTATTTGTGATAATCTATTGATCTATTTGTTGTAAGTTCGAATTTAAAAATGTCTAAAATATAAATTTTATTGACCATTGGAAAATTGATCAAAATTAGAAATTTAATAAAATAAATGTATAAAATTGTTTTTATGATAATTTAAAAATAGTTTATTGATAATGTTTATCGTTGTTAGTCATAATTATAGTCGAGATTTATGTGTATCTAAAATGTTTAACTTTATATGCATATAATCATCCAAAATCCTTGAAATATGAGTTATATTAAATTATGTTGTTAAAATGAATTAAACATACAAAAATTATTTAATTTTGACTAATAGTAATGTAAACTTTATATAAAAAAAATTACTTTGACAAAATTAAGGCTACTATAATTTAATAACTATATTTTTAGAAGTAATATAAAATCCCTTATATTTTATTTTTGCTTCACAATGATAATTATATACTTGTTAGTACTTAATAGAAAATAAGTTTTAAAGCCTCAAATTGGAAAAAAGTACTAATTATTTTTAAAATTAAAGTACTTTTTTAATCATAAACATCAAATTTAACAGTTTTTCAGAAAAATAAAACGTACCTCCACTGTCACTATTTTTATGTTAATCTTATAATTATGAAATTTCTACCAAAGTAGATGACTTTATAATTCAAAATTATAGTTTTTACAAAGCAAATGACTGACAAAAACGTAATTATTAATACAAATATACGTCAAACTCAATAATTTGTAAAAATGTGAATTTTATTTTTATTAGATTATTTACGTTTTAATAAAAGTTTTATATATTTTTTTATGATTAATTTGCTCATGACGCTCAATTTATGACTATAATTACGAGTTTCTTAACTAAGCTTCTGATTGTGCAATATATTTGTATTTTTATCTGTATCTTTATCACACACAGAGGCAATACATCATTATTTTCGAAATACGTCAAAATCATTACATTGCTTATTTTATCGTATAAAATATTTTTTTAAAAAGACAATAATTGTCCCAGGAGAGCGCGCTCCATGTACCCTCCCCTGGATTTGCAATTGATCATACGCATTATACTTATCTTACGATATTATTCGAGAACACAAAAAATGATCACAGTTTTAATTAATTTTAGCGAAATGGAGCAAATTGTAAAATTGTTTGTTCATCAAAGCTATGTAATAGAAGAAGATTTGGTGGTTGACTACTGTTTTGAAAAAGAGGTATGTGTACTAATGTTTTAAAATACCTATAGGATACTTGCATAATGTCAAAGAATGTATGTAGTAACTTATAACTTATCACGTACATTAATATATATGTAAATTAATGAATAAATTCTATAATTATTACCAATAATATTGAGTATGAAAATATTTCATGTATTTCTACTCTTTTCTTTGTAACATAACTACCATTTACTCTGGTAAAACAAATATAAAAAACTCAGCACAGTGGGGACGTGACATAGTTGTATTATGATATCTGACAGCGATTAAAATCACTATCATAAAAAACGCTTCGATACAAATTTGTAGATAGTGTTTAATTTAAAAAAATTGGTGGATTATTCCAAAAGCTATATGATCTCCTATTTCCTTATTTAGATCCTGATTACAAGTTTTATGATTTATAACTGTAATATATGAATATATATATTTATAATTATTATAGATTATAGATTATATAAATATTATTTCTCATACAAAAATTGTGTTGATCCATATACTATTCAATAAGTTATAGCATTATAATGTTAAAAATGTAAAAAATAAAATCGACAATTTTCACATAAAAATAGCATTTGGTAGTCATTTTCACTATGAAAACAAAATAAAGTCCAACATTTTTTTTTCTTTAATATAGTATATTACATTAGCTTTAATTTAAGATATATATAAAAGGGTCAGACTTTCCGGAACACTTTCAAAAGTTAAGTTGAAAAAGTTCTACTTTCTATATGCATTTTTCAGATTTGACCCCCCCCCCCGTACATAGGGTAATGGTCTGATTTAAAAAAAAAGTATGTTGAATAAAAGATGTATATAAATACTACTTCTTATGAAAAAATTTTATTGATCCATACATTTTTTAAAAAATTATAGCATAATAAAATTAAAAATGTAAAATACAAAATCGAGAATTTTCACATAAAAATAGCATTTGGTAGCCATTTTCATCATGAAGACAAAATAAAGTCCGAAATTTTTTTTTTTCCATAATTAAGTACATTATATTAGGTTTAATTTAAGATTTCAAAAGTTAAGTTGAAAAAGTTAATTTTATGTAAAAAATTTGTCATTTTTAATCCCCCACTGCGGACAAGTAAAAGGTCAAATTTATAAAAAAATCTACTAAATGATAAGTAAAGACATCAAGCATCTATTAAAAAAAAAAAAATTAAATTGATTTGATTTGTTCATTTTTGAAAAAGTTTTTAGTAAAAAAAAATTGAAAAAATTTCGAAAATTAGCGATTTTTAAATTTGTAATTTTTTGGAGGTTTCCCCCATTTTCGGGGAACGAGGTAAATTTTTTCAATTTTTGAGGGTAATATCTTCGACTAGATACGATTTGTGATCTTTTGACGTGTCGTTGAAAGAAATCGGTTCGGTGAGGCTGAGAAAAAGTGGTAACAGATACAAAAAAAAACACATTATAGCAAAATTAATATTTCCTCAGCTTCTAAATTGATTATGTAGGGTATACTATTGTCGTATAACGTCTTCGCAATGTTATCTGTACATATCTCTCAGTACCAACCTTTTAAGAAAAGAGAGAAAAAATGCAACTCCTGTAAATTGTCAACCATTAAAATGTCGAACTTATGGTAAATATATTTAAGAAAATGATTCTTTACCGTTTTCTGACGACATCACTGATTTACGACCTCTTTTATAGAAAACACTCTTTCGGTAACGCATCCCTTTATCAACAATGGGCCTAACACCGCGACAACTTCGGTCCTAATAAAATGCCCAATGTCAGTGTTCAACATATATCAACCATTACTTCAGTTCAAACTGCGGGTTTTAAAAATGTTGATGGTTATACTCAGTGGGCGACCCCTCAAATAATTTTAGGGAGGAACTGTAATCGAAACGATAACTGTACTATTGATGATTAAAACCGTTAATGAGTATTGATTTTGAGGTTAAAAACTAATTACAACCGTCCACTAATAAATTATTCAAAACTAATAGTAGTCCATAATCATGTCGGAAGAAAATTATAATCCTCTCATTTGAATTATAATATGAAACTGACTTTGTAACAGCTTTATTAAATTGCCAGGCAGTAAAGCCGTACTTGAACCCAGATAGTTTTAGGAAGTTTAATTATTGACTAACATATTATAAGCTAATGTAAGGCTAGAAATGTAGTGGCCATTACTATAACTAGTGGGAAAGCGTCTTTAACGCTAAAATAGCCGATTTGGATATCCTGCTTACCGTAGCTATTACAGATAATTTTTACTGATACTTATTACTTGAACATAACTTTTTGTAAGCGCAAGAAATTTCTTAGAATTAAGCCGCAGACACAATCTATCTAAGCACGAAAAACCGCCTGTTATCCTTCTCTTTATCCTTAAAGAATCTTACTATCCTTAAACTTGATATTTTTCAATTTAACATTGCGAATGATCCAGACACTCAGTCACTATTGACTAGAACACTTTCACGATACCCCGAAGTCTTTAGTAATGTCACAGAGTGCACTAAAATGATTGAGCATGATATCCTTCTAAAAAGTCCAATCCCTAACGCCTTCAAATCATATCCACTACAAAAATAACAGATCATTGTTGATATGACTAAGAACGTAGAAGACCAAGGTTTAATTGAACCTAATACCTCTCGTTTACCATTTCAATAGTATTTGGCAAAAAAAGAATGGCTCATTTCGCCTTTGCATCTACTATAGGAGACTGAATGAGGCTACTATTTCAGATGCTTACCCATGCCTAACCTCAACAATATGATCAGAATTATGCGTGGAGCTAAGGTATTTAGCGTGATATTTCTATCCTAAAAGCGGATATTATCAGATGATAATTTATATATTGAAGTATATTTTAATTGTTTGGATGATAATTTAAACCAATATGAAATAGTCCTCGAGTGGTTAAAAAGACAAATTAACATAGCAAGTTAAAAAATGCAAAGCTGCTGCGAATTAGGGGTTTCATGATCACCCTGAAGAAAGGAAAAAGTAAGCAAAAAGTTATCGGATACGCAAAAGCACCACATAGCGATAGAAAGGGAAATTTCCACTGTAATATAAGTGAAAGATAAATTTTGCACTTACTTAAATCCTCTGAATTGCTTACGGACATTTATCGTAACTCATAACTTAATTAAATAAATAAATAAGTTTTAAACAGTTAGTTTGATTATAAAAAAATTAGTATTAGAAAAATGAAAGGTGGTTGATAAAAGGTGAGGTCATAAAATAATATAAGTATTGACTCTTATTGATTTAAAATCTTACTTGATAATTTTTCTAAGTTCTTAGAATAACTTAAGTAATAGTATTAGTTAATAATTGATAAATAAAATAACACGAATTCGATTTAGTTCACAACTTTAATACGTAAGAACTTTGTAAATGACAATTTTGATGTAACGATGTCGAGTACGCAATTAGAACAAATCGAACTGTAAGGGTTTGTTCTGCTTTTTATAATATTTTGTATCCCCGAAAATGATCATTGTCTCATTCATACAATGTTATTGTTTATTGATAATTAAGCATAAAATATATAAATTATTACAGATGAATAGTATATAAATCATTTTGACATTTCATATAATGTTAATATAGTTTTTTATGCTTAAGATTAGGGTTGACACAACGCGCTTAACTATTAAGATTAGAATAAAAAAAAAATGACAAATATAATATAAAAATTTCTTCTCGGAAAGAATAATTTTTAAAGTGACTAATAATTGATTTATGAATGAATCGTGTGTATTATAATATGTAAGTAAACAGTATGCGTTTGTTAAATATTTCTCTAAGTTATTTATTTAAATTTTTTGCTTGAAAAGAATTATGTTCTTCTAAAAACATAATAATATAATACAACTATATGAATATAATGTATAAATATAAGTGCTGATTATTTTATACGAAAAAGTTAAATAAGAAACCATTATTATGAACATAAACAGGTAGCCTATTGTTATGGTAGTGACGAGTATATTCCGCAATGATTTTTTTAAATGTTGTGTCCTCACAATTGAGTGGATTACAAGAGTGGATCAAAAAGATAAGACAAAAAAATTAATGCTATACAGTGAAAATTAAATTAAAGTAATTGAACATTTCTAAAAAATTATTTATGTACATGTACTAAAACACTCAATGTACGTTCTGAGAAGACCTATTGACTGACCATAAACCACGCTTTTTATAAGAAATAATTAGTATAAACTTATTGGGCCCTTATCCATATCAAGTACGGATAAAACATATCTATTGGATGTCATTAAATGTTTAATTTAACAACTAAAACTATAACTGGGACATTAAAACGCGAGTTCTTCTCTCGTTTTTCAGTTACTCACCGAATATGTCTAAGAGACGATGACTTAAACCACGCATATCAATATTTAAAAGTATGAAATTTTACCACTGTATGTGATAAAGTTGACAAGTAACTTTTTAATTATCTATGTGATTCTATATGTTTTAAGGAAAAAACATCGTCAGTGTGACCTAATAAGAGTATCTCTGCTTTCTAATTGGAGTGCTAAATCTATTTACTAGACCGCGACCGGCCATAGAGCGTTGACGACGACGAATGCTCTTCTGACGTCTTACTTGTACTTAATTATCCCTTCTGCCATGTTACGCCTTTTTATGCTAAAAATATTTTACTATTTGCATCTATGAATCTATCTATAAAATCTTAAGTACAATATTTAGTATATCATTAATTATTTATTCCATATACAGGGGATTGACTAACTATGTTTCACGAATTTTATTTAAAAATTAGTGTTATCATATATGTAATTATTTTATTTGTTATAAATTTTTGTTAATTACTTGACAAGAAAAATAAAGATTCCATCTTCATCCCTTAACCCTCTAATCAATATCAACTTTAGTTTTTCAAATAGCAACCCAGATTTTTTTTTTATTAATCTTATATAGCATAAAAAAAAAATCAATTTTTACTAAATTCTAAACGAGATATCACTATTTAAAGTTTAGAGAATTTAACAAATAAAACAGTAGTCGGGCAAATACAGTAACATTAATATTTAGTGTACAGATAAGAACTATCGGTGTATTATACCGCGATTTAAAATTTGGGCGTCTTTTATAAATCAACGTGCGTAATATTCACGTCCCCTAAACTTTAATGAATCATAGCTCGCTGATAATTGAATAAAATAAATAAATTTTTTTACGAAAAATATTTCTAAAACTAAATCTAATCTTATTATATATATATAAAAAATAGGGATACCACTTGAAAATTGAAAGTCGATACTGATTTAAAGCATAAGGGATGATCACAAAAAAGTAATTTTACTCATTGAGCAGCACAATATAGAAAAATAATATTTCATAAAGAAAAAAAAAGATAACTCTTAAATTTTCAGAGATAATTTGTGAAGCATAGTTAATCAATCATCCTGTATAATTGATGTACTAATATTTTAGATACAAAACTGTATTACTTCCAAGGACTGGATCGCTCTTATTCCAAAAGGATGGATGGGTGTTGATAGTCAGGTTGCTTTTAAACATGTCACCATTGGTGGGAATGAAATTGATCAACCCATAAAGTTTATTGTAATGGAGAAAAGTTGCTTTCAAAATGTCGTTGAGTGTGGTAAACAATACCAACTTATGTATATAGATCAATATTTAGAGGTAATTTAATATAAAATTTGAATTGTTCATAAAATTGCATAGTAATAATTAATTTTAATATTGTTTTCAAGATTTTAGGTCGCAGTGATTATTTTACGTTTTTTCATCAAAATAATGTTTGCCATTGCATATCATCATCAGAAAAGTCTATTATTAAAGATCAATATGATAAAAAAATGTCTGTGAGTTACTATAGGAAAAATAAAATTATTTTTATAAGATAAATATTTAATAATAATGCATTTATTTGCAAACTAAAACATTTATATTAGAATCAACATTTTTTTAACTAGCATATCAAATGTTGCAAACATCTCAAAATGAAAAGCTCGTGCTATGGACCACAGAGTTTTAAAATTGTAAAAATTTATATTAAATTAATTTAGTACTTAAAGTACTTAATTTAGTCAACTAGACTAAATATATAAGGTTAAAGAAAATATATTAATGAACTATTGATGTATATACAATTTATATATAATTTTCTTAATAAGTATATTCTATATTAAATAGGTCTATAAGCAGCCAATGTTGCAGAAAAAATCGGTGTATACATGTATTCTTTATTTTTTAAAACAGTAGCATAGTGGTGTACATGTTTATATTTTATTTATTTAACTATAAAAGAAATATACAATAATAATTTTTGTTCGATAACATAATTTATAAAATATTAAATTCTTTGTTAAGTAGTTATGTACTGATACACAAATGGCTTATTCAAAATAATTTTAATAATACAGTTAATTGTATTTTTTAATATAATAATATTATACTGTAGAGTACAATCCCAGATAGATACACCATATGAGTACGTTGTCTTTACTAAAGTTAAAAAAGTAACTTTAAACATTTTATATCTAAAATATTTTTTAAAATATTACATTTTAAATAATGCTTTTCTATTTCTGAATTAATATACATTATATATTCTTTAAATTTTTAATCATTCTTAAAAACAACGCCTAAATATTAGAGAATATTTGTTATTTAAAGTTTCATATAATTACAGTCGAAATAATTAGTATAATAATATTCACATTCTTGAAAAAAAGGACGAAAAAATTTAATTAAAACTATATTAAAAATATTATTAATCTAAAAAACTAAAAAATATTAAAAATATTAAACTCAAAGCCACAAAAAAATTAATGAAAAGTCGCGGATACGTATTTCGGAAACAATGTTACCATTATCAACACATACTGACACCCCGACTAGAAAAAACTCCCTTATATACCCCTAGTGACCTTATCACCTAGTGACGTCATCACTAAGTAATATTATCACATTTTGCCAGTTTACACAAGTTTAATAATGAATTTTTCAGTGGGCCAAGATCACAATTAATTAAATTGTTTTTATTTTTAAAATAATTTAACAATTTATTTATGTGTAAATAATTACAAAGAACTTAATATCAGAGAAGCAATAGAAATGTTAAAAAATAAAAACAATTTAATTAATTGGGATCTTGGCCCACTGAAAAATTCATTATTAAACTTGTGTAAACTGGCAAAATGTGATAATATTACTTAGTGATAACGTCACTAGGTGATAAGGTCACTAGGGGTATATAAGGGAGTTTTTTCTAGTCGGGGTGTCAGTATGTGTTTAGCGTTGATAATGGTAACATTGTTTCCGAAATACGTATCCGCGACTTTTGATTAATTTTTTTGTGGCTTTGAGTTTAATATTTTTAATATTTTTTAGTTTTTTAAATTAATAATATTTTTAATATAGTTTTAATTTTACTTAATTAATTAGCCATAAGTGATCAATTTTTATTACGAAAAAAGTAGGTTAGAAATTATTACTTTTAACATATTAAAAATAAAAATCAATTATAATTTGAAAAGAATTAATTATAATAATTATAAAAATTATATAAAATATAATTAAATATATTTTGATTTGTAATTATCCACCAATTACTTAGAATTAAACACTTTCTACAGATTTGCATCGATGCGTTTCTAATGATAGTGATTTTAATCACTGTCATATTAAATCTATACTGGACCCAACTATGCCACGTCACCACTGTGCTACCGATTTTTAAAATATATTTTACAATTTTTAAATTGAAGATCAATATAATTATAATCTTTATTATAATAAAATGAATTAATGACAAAGACAGGGTGTCTAGTATAACCAGGCATGTATTTCAAAATTTATAATGAATGGAAGCGCAAAAGAATTTTTTCATGTATAAATTTGTTTTGCTTATAACTTTTTTTTTAATGCTATATAAAAATTGAAAAAAATGCCACATGCATACTTGAAACACATATGGAAATAAATTATTTTATCCAACAAAAAAAATCTTTTTACATAAAATATAAATTTAGCTTTAATGAGAAGCTTGGTTTTTTGATAACATACGTCCTTTTTGTTTACATATATCCATGAAAATTCTCAGTTTCCACTGGACCAATTTCAATAAATAACACCGCAAAAAAACACGATATTAATGTTCCAATATCGAATATCGAAACATGAAGCCGAAGAGTTTTATCATGATAGTGATTATAATCACTGTCAGATATTATATATATTTGTTCCCACTGTGCTAAGTTTTTAAAATAACATATGTAACTCACTATTTAAGTAAAATAAAATAGAAATTATTAGATATTTTTTTTATACATTTCAGTAATTTTTGATAAAAATATAATAAAAACAAGCTGTAGTAATTAATTTTAACTTTATATAAAATAAAATTATTATTGTTTATATACATTTTTTGTTAAACTGAATAACAAATGCTAGAAATAATCTTAGCCTATACAAAAGATGATTATATAAAAAATTAGTTAATTAAAAGAGAAATTAATATTAATTAAAATTAAGTGTCATTGATTCAAAAAATGTTCACAAGTTAACAACACACTTAACTATAACGATTTTTAATTAATATGATATTAAAATAATAGTTGTGGGTGTATATTTAAATGAATAAATAAAAATAACTAATTTTAATTTATAAAATTAATTTATATTGCTATTTTTATAGTAAAAACTGTGGACATTTTTGTTGGGAAAATCCTTATTATTTAAGTAGAAAGTATTATAATATATACTTGAATGATGTTTTAATTTTTTCTTATTTTAATAATTATAAAAATATTGTATTTTTTATTTATATNCCAAATAAGTTGTCGTTAGTTGTATATATTTCTTATTATAAACATGTTGAATATTCAGTATCTAACACTTAACTATAACGATTTTTAATTAATATGATATTAAAATAATAGTGGTGGGTGTATATTTAAATGAATAAATAAAAATAACTAATTTTAATTTATAAAATTAATTTATATTGCTATTTTTATAGTAAAAACTGTGGACATTTTTGTTGGGAAAATCCTTATTATTTAAGTAGAAAGTATTATAATATATACTTGAATGATGTTTTAATTTTTTCTTATTTTAATAATTATAAAAATATTGTATTTTTTATTTATATCATTTATTACAGATGACGTTTAGACGTAGATCTATTCAAAGATTGCCCCAGCCACTCTGTAAATTTGATAATAATGGTTCAAAATCACAAACCAGTTTTGCTGTAAAAAATGAAGTACCAAAAGTAAAACAATGGTCATCAAGTGTGTGCACTAAATGTAAAGCACCAAATAATTACATTACGTTAGAGAGCACATACCTAACTACAGTAATTTTTATACAAATAACTTATTAAATGATCATTTTTTAGCACAAATTATAGTATAATTTATTTTTTAGATTCAAGATTTAGCAGCAGAGAATGAGGTGATTGAACAGCGCTTATTGAAAGTTGAAAAAGATTTGGCGCATACGTTAGCTGTAGTTAACAAACAATTAAATTTAAACAAAGTATTTTCTTCTCAAGAAGAAAGCATTAAAAAAATTATTGATAATTTGGTTGAAGGACTAATTAAACAAGGTCGTACAACATTTTGGTCCCATGGGCAAGAGGTAATTTGAATTATAAATTTAATAAGTGTTGTTTTTTTTAAACGTGATGCCAATATAAGTAAGTAATTTAAATTAATGTGTTTTTTCTATTTATTAGTTTACTGTTGCCAGAGAATTTCTAGATCCTAGTTTGGAAATTGAAAATAAATCAAATGCTGCTGTTGCTGAGCCACAAAAATATTCTAGAGAAGCATATCTAAAAGCTATAATTGGACAGCAAGAACAAAGCATTCAGCATTTGGTCAACAAAATTAAGGATTCTTTTGATTTATTCCTGAAGGTTACATAACTATATTAAAGTTTCAAATAAATTTTATGGAATTTATAAGTTAATATTTTTTAGCTGAACTCTACGTCTACTGAACACGATTTACCTGTGTCAGAAACTTCAGAGACAAAATTAAGTAATATAGGCTATATGGATAGTTCTGGAACGACTTATTTTACTCCGCCTTATATTCATAACATTGACAATATAAACAATTCATTTAATTTATGCGTTAATAAAAATTTAGAATTAGCCAAAACTGAATTTGAACAACATAAAATTTCGGTAATAATTGTTTTTTTTTAAATTTTATAACTTTGTCTTTAGGGGATAATGGGAGAAGGTAGTTGCAATTGGTGCTACTGCATTAGGCCCCACGCATTAAATATAAATAAAAAATTTTAAAAAAATATGTGAGAAAAGAATATGTTTATTTATTTTATTTGGCCGTATCCAACATTAATGTAGTTTTTTTATATGTTGTATTTTTATACTTGATTTTACTAAGGTTTGGTTAATAATTTGTATAAATTATAAATTATTAATTTATTTAATTTATATTATTTTTAATTCAATGGTTTAATTAAATTCTTCGGAGAGGGTTGGCTAAAAAATTGCTAACTGATCACCATTCTTCAAATCTAATACAAAAAGCCCCACGGTAAAAAAAAATGTGGATAGTTTAACTGAGATAATAAAAAAATAATATTTAACATTAAATTTATGAAATTTGTAATGAAATAATAAATGAAACTGCACTCCTATGCGATAATTCGTTGTTATATACTAGTGTCCTACCAATAAATCTTTAACTTTTGATTAATGAATATTTTGTGTTACTTTTTTTTTTAAGTTTTGAACTACGTTAAAAGCATTCTTTTTTATTTGTCTTCAATAAAAAAAAATTTTTTTACTTTTTTTAAATTTTGAAATGACCATTTTTTAGTTTTTTTCTTACAAAAAATTATTGTGGGTCGATAACCCAACTTTAGAACAAGTATTGAGTTACAACCATTTAAATACAAAAAGTGAGTATGTAACATGGTTAAATAAAGCTCATATGTTACCCAAACATATGTATACTTCATCCAAGTTTCACATTCATTCTGTATAATATAGGCGTAAATGAATAAATATTTATCCTAAAGTTATTATCGCGTTATCCCAATTTTTTATAAGAAAATGACAATTAATAGCTATTTTAAAATGTCAAAAAAAAAAAGTTTTATTTTTCTTATTATTAAAAGATTTAATTAGAAAAAGGTAAAAAATACGCTTTTAAAATAATCTAAAACTATTAATATTTTTATTAAAAAAAAAAAAAAAAAGAAGTAGAAAATACATGCTGGTTCAAAAGTTATTAAATATGGTAATACCTTGAAATACATCATATATAATGTATATGAACAATCTAAAAATATAAATCTAGAGCTTAAATGTGGCTAATGTTTTAAAATGGAAAAGTTATATTTAATTTCTAAATGACCACTTTAAAACATTTATTATGTTTATTAAATAAAATCGAGACTTTTTAGAATTTCGTAGTTTGGAAATTAGTGTTTTCATTAATGTTATATTTATCTATTTATTTGCCGAAAGTAGTTTCCTGTTCATTTTATACAAATGTTAAAATTTTCAGAACACTCAACAAACATCGATAATTGAAGTACAGAAAGACAAAAAAACATCTAAAGAAATTTAACATAATACATTTCCCAATGTGACTATTTGTCAAAATAATCTAAATATGTTTCACTGAGTAATTTTTACAATGAAAATAAAGAAAAGAAATTGTTAAATTATTTGAGTATAGAGAACCACATTTAAAAATTGTTACAAAAATAACATTGAGGTAAAAATATTGAAAAAGTATTGTAATTAGTTCCTTGTTATTGTAAAATTGAAAGGTTTGCTTTAAACATGAGATAGTTTAAGATTTTCAAATTTAAAATAGCCATCAATTAACGGTGTGAAGTTAAAATTGCGTTTTCTAATTCCATATTATACAACAATACTTGCAATTTTATATTTTAAATAACTTGAATATCAAGTTATTCGAGACTTGAAAGCTATTCATAAAAATAAATTCCTGAAATCTATCTAATGGTGTTTATTTTGTATAACATAAAAAAATGGAAAATAAAGATATATTAAATTAAAGTTTAGATTACATCAGATAAATTAAAAAAGAAATTTTGTAAGTGCACCTATTTTTTTATGAATAAATGGCTCACGTAGTTAAAACTATTTTTGTTTTAAAACTTTGGATTTTATTTTTTAACTATATTGCTATAGTTATTTCAAAAATGCGTAGATCAATATTTCTCTTTTTATAAGTACTTTATATATATCCTTTTTAACCGACATATATATTGTTTTAATATTTGCACTTAACAGGGGTGCAAACGTGAAACAATCATATAAAAAATAGAACTTATTAAAATTAAATTTTAAAATGCTCCGAAAATCCTGTATCCTTAAAATATACAGAGTGATTCATAAAGGATAAGACGCTCATTTTCTCGATATCTTTTGAAAATTTTTAATTTTTGGTAAGGAAAATATTGCTTGATTGAAAAAACTTTATAATAATATGCAGTAAAAACATAATTTTTTTCATCCCTTCAAGGTTAAAAAACATTAACTTGAATTTTTTAAATAGGAACCCCTATTTTGAATTTGTTTTTCAAAAAATCAAACCTTTCAATTTTTAAAATTATAAAGTTTGAAGTAAAAGCTTAAGTGAAATATAACTTAATCATTCAATTTTTTTCAAAATAAATTTGTAAGGTTTCTGAAAAATTATTTAATAAGGAGTATCCAAAGGGGACATTAAAGGATATCTTGTGAAATATGAGACTGTTAAATTTAATTTGTGAGAAATAGGTATGCGAGGCTGTGACATCAATGAAAAAAAATAAAGCAATAGGACCAGATGAAATACCAGAAGAAGTATGGAAAATATTAGGCGGTTAAAGGATCCTTTTAATAAAATTCTATTATAAGGGAAATTGCCAAAATAATGGTGGAATAGTATTGTGGTGCCATTATTTAAAGGCAAAGGAGACATACAGGAGTGTGGAAATTATAAAGTCATAAAGTTTATGAATCATAGTATGTATATTTGGGAAAAAGTAATAGATATGAGAAAAGAAATGAAACATTAGTATCTATATCGTTATAAGAGAATTCTAATGAAGCTTCTTATTGTGTCCAGGTTTTAATATAGATGCTTTGTTTTGTTATAATATTTTTTTACTCCATTGATTTCCGTTACACTCGCCAGATCTCCAGGCGTGCATGGCACTGGATTTAGGGGACAAACTAGTATATGTTGTTCTGTTTGTTCACTTCCGCAGTCGCAGTCTATGGTTCCCGTATCGTATCCCCACTTACGTAGATTTTTCTTTGTTTAGGCAACACCTACTTTCAATCTATTGAGTGTTCTTCAGGTGTTTCATTCGTTGCGATATCTGAGTGTAAGTTTTTCCATTGGCCTTATTTTAAAATTATTTATTAGGTTCAGAGCTATTGAACTTCGATGCCGTTCATGCTCAAGTGATGTTGTGGTCTTCGTAGTTGATTTCAGAAAGTTTTTTTTCGATTTCAGTCTGTTTGGGACCTGTTGGTGCCCACGAAGTGAGTGTCTTTCATTTTTTACCTATTTACAAAAAAAAACGTACTAAAAAAATTTACTACATATTTTAAATAATTTATCTTTTTTAAAATTCTTGGCATAATGTGCTTTTATTGCAATTAGGAAAACAACATCGGTATTCTGTAACAATCTGTAATAGGTATTGTTTTTGTGCTTCGTCTTTTGTTAAAATATTATTATTCTCTTCTATGAGTTTCACGTCTGGAACTTTTAAAATTGGTCATAATATTTTTTGGTTAAACACCTTTAAATGGAATTTATTTTAAAATTCCTGGCCCAATTCATCATGCTCGTAGGATGGCCAAGGCCATTTATTGTTTGAACATTTTTTTGTTTCGGGGCCAATTTGAATTGTCAATCAAAGAGTTAAATAATATTCGTTCATTATGTATTGTTATTACAAGTTTATATATTAAACAATGATTTAGTGCACCAAATGCTGCATTAGCGCCAAATTTAGATTTATAATTTATTAAAAATATAATTGATTATGAACCAATAGATAAAGATATTTCTAAAGTAATTTTAAAAAAAATTTCCGGTTACTTATGGTACTTAATATTCGAAACGGCAGCATTGGCATTTTTTGATGGTCATTCGTGTTGTATACATTAAAAAGTAATGGTGCGAGGATACTTTTTGCGGGAGGCCATTTTTTAAATTTCTCCATCGGATTTTTTGGTCTTGTAGTCTTACATGGAATCTTCTATTTCTATTCATTGACTCAATTACTGTCGTCAGATGGTAGTCCTTAGTTATTTTATATACTTTGTCCAGTTAGAGGTTATGATCATCAGTGTCATATGCAGCAGTCAAATCTATAAACACGGCTCCGGTTCTTTTTTTTGTTTCTAACCCATTCTTGATGGTCTGTATTAGGTTCAGTATCTGGGATTTCCCTGGTCGAAACCTAGCTTGATTTTTAATTAGGTTTTATTCTATGACTGGTGCTATTTTGTTCAATATTAACCTTTCATATAACTTATACATATGATATAGTAACAATATTAGTTTGAAATATTTTGGGTTGTTTGGTAGTTTCCGAGGTTTTAATAGTGTTATCACTTTTGCCTTTAGCCATTGTTTTGGGATTCTTGCTGTTTTACGGCACTCGTTAAAAAACTTCAATATCCATTCCTGTGTATTTTTTCCTAAGTGTTTTATTATTTCTGTTTGAATTTCATCTATTCCGGGTGCTTTACCTTCTTTCATCTGTTTTATTGCATGTATTAGTTCTTCTTTGCTAAATTCTGCTTTGATAAGTGATCTTTCATTTGCTTTGTCCCTGGACGTTTGTATTCTTTTTGTTTTGTTTTCAGGTTTACCATTTTTGAGAAAGACATGTGCGACTTGATTTGCTGTTACATTAGTTGTCCAATGGCTTTTGATCCCCATTTAACTGTTTTAGGGTGTTCTAAGATGTTTTGCTGTTTCGGGTCATATCAAAGTTTTTTACTAGTGATTTCCATTTCTGTCTTCTGTTATTATTTTCCGCTTGCATCAAATTCTGTCCAAGTAGTATTGTGTTATCAGCGAAAGGGTCTTTATCGAATTCTTGTTTATACTTTTCAAAAAGCCTTGAAGAGGCTTTGTGAATTCCCGTCACATATTGTGATCTACATCCTCTAGGGATGTGTTTTCTGGATATTTCTTTCACTATGTTCACAAAATTCTCTTAGTTAAATAGTGTGGGCTCGATTTGTTGGATTTTATTTTTCTAAGCTTCTGTGAATTCCGTCCATCTAGCTTTTTTGTAGTTAAATCTCCGTTTAAATGGTTCACTCTGTGCTCTAACGACAGCGTGGATTTGCAGGCACATAGGTCTATGCTGTGTATTTGTTATCGGTCCTCTATATATTTTGAACTCTGTTGTGTAATTCTATTTGTTACGAAAATGAGATCTGGGTTGTACCCTCTCTTCCAGCCTCCATTATTAAAAGAGTGTGGTAGCTTAGAGTCATGTATTAGCGTTAAGTTTTCTACTTCTGACCATTCTTCCAGTTTTCGTCTATCTTCATTAATTTCAGTATAGTCCCAAGTTACACTATGTCTGTTAAAATTACCTACAACTATATTGTTCGTATCTCTTTTAAAGTTTTCCGGGGTTATAAATTCATATGGTTGGGCTGGAGATTTATATACTGATGTTATTGAGTAGTTTGTTAATTCAATGGAAATTATTTCTATACTATTTATTTGACTAGATCCTACTGATTTGATGACTAAATTAGGTTTTGTGAATATTGAACTTCTACATTTTTTATGCGGTATTTCTAATTTGCATGTCATTAATTTTTGGGCGATTATCATTCATACCTCGATGTGTTTTTTGGATACAAAGTATATCGCACTTCCATTCGACACATAGTTCCGATAGTAATAGCTCTTTAGGACTAGATAGTCCTTCGATGTTGATTGACATAACTGTCATCGCTGGGTGGCCCTAAAAAGGGCCGTTTTGGGTAAGCATCTTTATTCGTCCGGTAGTGGTGAGATTAGATAGCGATATATCTTAGCCTGGGTTATATCACTATGCGGAAGACGCCACGTGAAGACTCTCACCATAATGCCCCTAATGAAGCTGGAAGGTATGTTGTATGAGACTAGTGAGACTAGCTATGTTGTATGGATCAGAATGTTGGGCGGTTGACAAGAAAGTAGTGCAGAGAATGAGTGTAGTAGAGATGAGAATGCTCAAATGAATGAGTGAAGTGACTAGAAAAGAAAGGATAAGGAATGTACATATAAGAAGGAGTATAGGTGTAGCGTCAATCATGGATAAGATGAAAGAATATTGACTTAAATAGATGGTTTGGTAATGTTTTAAGGAGAGAGAAGTCGGAAGCTATAAGAGCAGTTATAGAAATGAATGTTGAAGAAAGAAGAGGTAGAAGAATACATAAAATTGATGTTATTGAATGCGATATGAGGACGGCTGATATGAGCCTAGATAATGTTGGAGATTAATTCAGATGGAAATTTAGGATAAGGGTGGCTGACCCAAAATAGAATGGAATTAAGGCGACGAAAAAGAAGTAGAAAAAAAAACTTGTAAAGTTTAAGCATCATTATAAATTAAATTATTTCAATATTTTACTTAAGTTTCTACTAAAATTATTTTTATATGTGTAGAGTTAATATTTTTTTTAATAGATGCATTTATTATTTTTGAAGCTTGCTTTTTGAAGATTTTCACGACTTCTTTGGTAATGGATACTTTCTTTTGTTTGTTAAATATTATTTTATTTTATTTAAAATTAATTATTTTTATTTGTTCCAAAAATAGTTTTTGTTTAAGACGATTAATGCGTCAAATGTATAATAAACTTTATTTATTTGAAAATTATGTTGTTGTACCTATTTATCTAGTTAAATATTATAATATTATAAGAATAATTATTCTTAACAAAAGTAAAATATAATAGTTTAAAAATAATTGATTTGTCTAAAAATGGTTTTAATAAAAAATTTCATAATATATATTTTGATACAAAGTTATTAAGTATTAAATAAGAAAGTATTAAGATAAGCTAGACTATTTTTTTAGCTTTGATGCAAAGCTGAGGAGGGAATAATTTTACTAGGATGTGTTTTTTTTTATCTTTTTCTACATTTTATCAGCTCTCACTGGACTATTTTTTTTAACAATTTATCAAATAATCACAACTAGTATAAAGTTAAAGATGTTATATAATATCCGTAATACTAATGGAGAGTTAAAAAACAACAAATATAAATAAATGTAATTATATATAAAAATCTCATGTCAAGGTGTTTGTCCGCGATGGACACCGAAACTGCTGAACCGATTTTGATGAAATTTGACATACATGTGTAATTGGGTCCAACTTAGACAATAGGATAGTTTTTATCTTGATTAATAGTCTCAGTTATTTTTTATTGAAAATTATATTCGTAAAAGTCGATTNGTCTCAGTTATTTTTTATTGAAAATTATATTCGTAAAAGTCGATTGTTATTATTTTCTCATAGATGGCGGTATGAAACTTATATTTTATCAATTTTCATTATTAAATGTAAGTGTCCAACAAATGGCGCCTAACTATGTGTGTTCTCTTTCAATAATAATTATTGTAATTATTATTATTTACAATTATTGTAAACGCTTCTCAAAATTATTGACAATAATTGGTGATATCCATTTAGACATGCTATTTCTTCTATATATTAATCCATGATTAAATTTATTCATATTAGAAAAAGACAGGTTAACTAAAAATATTGTGCACCAAATAGCGTTTTTTAAATTTTAATATTAACATAACATAATAGTAACATAACTGTTTGGAGTAAAAATCAACCTTAGATACCTCATCGATTCATTTTAATTTATATAAATGTAAGCAATATAGAATTTTGATATTACTAATTTATTTTTTATTGTACTTGAATTTAAAATAAATAAAGTATAAAATGAAAAAAAATTTTTTGGGTCGTTATTCATTGATAAGTGTTAAAAATTGTATTCAATGATAATCTCCGATAACTCAGATTTATAAATTTTATAAATATTTGCATAGTTATGTTATATAATTGAAAATAATATTAATCGTATAATAAAGTCAAAGTTTAGGATAAGGGTTGCCGACCCCAAGTAGTTGGGATCTAGGCAAAGAAAAAGAAAAAGATTACCAGAAATTCCGGTGGCAATTGACATAATATAATTGTTGTTTGGGAACGTACAATTTAGCGTTTGGTTGGGTTTAAACAATATAGCGTCAAATCAATAATTGATTATTATAAGGTAATTATTACCTATTCTATCGGTTGTATCTTAATATACACTACACTTTAATGATACTATAAATAAATAAACTCACACCTACACACATGTGCATTTATAACATTGTGTCTAATGCCGGCCATACACGATATGGTCTACCTGCGCAGGTAGACCTCTCCGGTAGACCGTATCGTGTATGGCCGGCATTATGTAAGTATAATATAATAAAAAATAACCGTAAAATGAAACAAATTGAAAATACATTTTAGTACTCATATTAAATGTAATGTAACTCGAAAAATATTTGTTTAAATGAAAAAATAGAAGATATCTTTTTTGTTTAAAATTGTCTTTTAAACAACTTTTGTACAGAACTTTTTTTTGTAAGTTAAATATTTTTTGGGAAAAATAAAAAAGCTCATATTTTTTAACTTTTTCAAGGCTGTAAAAAAAGCTCAATTTCAATCAATGTGGACTATTAGTATGCCATTATACATATGTTAATTCAACTTTTAAAAAAAAAAAATTTGGTTGGGAATTTTTTCCTTTGTTGACTGGCCTATTATGTTTTCTCCAATTTGTGTGTAAAATGAAATGTTTCATTTAATTCAAATAATAAGGATAATAATAATGGGTTCTTATCTTAACTTGTGCTAACGATGTCAGCTGTACATCGATAATCGCGGCTATTAACTGAATATCAACAAGCTGTACAGTTATTATTAAATATTTAATACTTTTCGAGCAGATATATAGCACTATCTCATTTATACCTGTAGATCTCTACAAGTATAAATTAAAAAAAAACGGTACCACAGTGGGGTCGAGGCACAGTGTGGATGAGGCATAGATGGGACAAGTATAGATGATATCTGATAGTGATTAAAATCACTATCATAAGAAACGCTTCGATGCAAATCTGTAGATAGTGTTTCCTTTAGAGAAATTGGCGGAATATTCTAAGAGCAACATCAACTCTTATTTCTTTAATTATATCCTGATTAGTAGTTCTTTGATTTTAAAATATAATATATATATACCCTCGTACTCATATCCCGAGAGAAAATTATATTATATCATTTTCTTTATTCAATAAATATAACAGTAACTCAATTATTTTCATGCTCATATAATACCAAGAAATATAAATAATTTTAATAAATTATCCTTTAATTATCACTAAAAAACTTCTTAATAATTTTCTCCTTTTATTTTGAGTTACTATACACAACTAAATCTAAGGCTTCTGACTTATTCTGTTTATTTTCTAAATCAGCAACAAAATAAACAATATCTTGAAGTAATTTTGTTACCGCAATGAAAGTTAGAAGATCTTATGTATTAATTTATTTTAATAATAGAAATACATACATTAATTATAACAATTAATTAAAAATGGTTACATTTTATTTTGCTGGAATAGCTATATATAAAATAATATACATTTTCAAATAACTTTTCACAAATTTTAAAATACTGTGAAATATATCACAAAGGAACTTCATAAAGTTTGTTTAGCATAAAAAAGTACTAAGTTTAAATTATATATTCCATACCTTTTTATTTAAACCAAAAAGAGTATCTAAACAAAATCAATGATAGATAGATTTTTTTTTCATACTGATTTTAGCTAAATTCACAATAGAAGACTTGGAGGCAATAATGAGACATATCAATTTTTTAGAGTTATTCGGGTAATAAAAAATACATTCTAGTATCTAAAAAATCTATTTTATACTTAAATAAAGAATTCCATATAAGTTTTAGGATAAATATAACTAATGAACTTACAATAATGCTTACTTAGTAGTAATAAATTAAGGAAACACTAAAATATTATTCAGACATGTGTTGTTGTTGCACCATCCATTTAATACTACACATTTATATAAAAAAAAAACCCAGCACAGGGGGATCGCAACACAGTGGTGACGTGGCATAGTTGGATCTTGTATAATGATATCTGAAAGTGATTAAAATCACTATCACAATAAACGTTTCGATGCAAATCTTTAGATAGTGTTCAATTTTAAAAAATTGATGGATTATTGTTGTGGATAAGCAGCATCAGTTTTCTATTGAATTTCTCAATTTTTTTCGCTTCTCGTCTCTCCGGTATACACGACTCTACGCTCTTCTTCCTCATCTTCAAGTCGATTTTGTGTCCGTTGAATTCGCATCCGATCGACGAGAACTGCTTTTCCGGTCTAGGCGTTTTGGTTTCGTCGGGTTCCGTGTACTTACACGTCCGTTTGCAACATTTTCTATTCCTTTTTTTTTTTGTCTCCGCAATGTTTTGATTTCTCAACATTGGCATCTTCGCGTATCCGCAACGGCCCGGACCACACGGGACCCGCGGTTCTCAACCGAACCATACGACAGCCGCTAAGCGCATGTCTTCCGCTGTTACGTCCACGTCTATCTCGATTTTGGAAATCCCTCCAGAAGTGCCTCTCTGTACGGATTTGAATTCCGGCACGTTCACTTTGGCCGTCCCGACGATCTCGGTGCTCGGCAAATCATCCGCACCTGACAATCGTCGCAATACGATTGTCAGGAAATCGCGGTGGTCGCAGAAACGTGAACATTCGGCCTTCGTGTACGGACAACGGTTCTCGAACATAGCTGGGTCCCGGAATTTCTCGCATAACATCTGTTCCGAATAGTCTAAGAACTGTAAGCCGGCGAGTATCGTCGTCCCGGTTTGCGTAGGTTATTGTTTTTACCACTATGTCCAAAAAAAAAAACAGTTTCTCTGCCGATAGCGATGGTAAATCGTGAACGATTGTGCCATCCGTAGGAATTTTAGTTGAAAATATTAATCGATTTTTACTTAAATTTATTTTTAGACAAAATAAACAAGCGTCTCGTTGGGAACTGTGTACAGTTAACCTCAATGAAAGTAGATTGCACTGATATCAATTTCAAGTAAGACGAGAAACAATCGAATTACTTTTTATTCAGAAAATAAATAATATGCACCGCGTGCTTTGTAACGTCTTTTGCCTTTAATATTTCGTGCGATGAAATATATTCTTCTAAGATGTTTTCTTAATCTGTCACAACTCACAAATATGCAGACTCGTGTTCATGTCATAATTGAATTATTCTATCAATGATAATTATGCAAAAAATATTGTTACAAAATTGTATTACAAATAGTAAAATGTGAACAAATCGTTGTTGTTTATTTTTTAGCTTCGATGCGAAGCTGAGAAGGTATTAATTTTACTATGATGTTTTTTTTTTTGTGTCTGTTACCACTTTTTCTCAGTTCTCACCGAACGGATTCCTTTCAACGATACGTCAAAAGATCACAATTCTTATCTAGTTGAAAACATTAACCTCAAAAATTGATAAAATTTCCATTTCATTTAATGAATAAAAAATTACTTAGCCCACATTCTCAATATAAAATCGTTCATTTTTAATGATTTTATAATATTTATTGTCGGATTACTTTTGATATGAT